TCTTAGGTAGAGGTTCTAACATATAAATTTTTTTTTTATATATAGTACCAATTATTTTTAATTATTTCTATTTCCATGATCAAACATGGCTCTGATACCAGTTAATCAGGAGTGCGCAGTGTCAGCGGAATTAAAATTATACTTTAACAATCTTGGGGTCTAATTTGAAGTTTTTATGTTTTTATAGTGGTTCTTGGCTATAATTTCTAGATAAGGATATTTTTGGAAATTTAATCATTCGGTCATCTTGACAGAATGAGTCATTCGGGTATAGTAGTATTATCCAAGTCATTATTATGTAAGTCACGCAAGACAAGATTGTGGTTCTGTAACCCCCATCTCACCCTAGGCTAGATCAGGACAAAGATTCTTGGGATGTTCATAAGATGCGAGTTGTCCTAATTTCATGATTTTTGTGTTGGGATGGGGATAAATTGGAGAAATTAATTGAAGAAATGGGAGCAACTGCAATGTGAGAGGGGGAGAGAGTTTGAAGATGAGAAATTAGGAATTAAATTGTTTTAATCATTTTGTTGGGAAAAAAAAAGTTGACAAACATGTCTTTAGTTAGTGGAACCATGATCTTGTATTGCATGGCCCACGTACAGTAGCACACAATGGTAATCAACCAGTGACGGATCCAGGATATTAAGTCAGTTAGGGTGATCGTTGACGACCGCAATAGTAAAATTTTGTTATTAATATTAAAAAATTTCAATTAATATATAAATACGATAAAATGTAAAAGTCATATACATTTAAAAATATGATCTAATACAACCTAAAATGATACGGAAAAAATATATATTTTTCAATCATGTGTGTATGATCAAGTTTTGTTACGGACTTAAACGAAACAATTTATACATAAAGCATGATTAAACGGTAAAGACAAGCTCCAAGTTTAGGTGAAGGTTATGCAAAATTTTGAATTCAATTATTTTTTACCCCAAAAGAAAAGGTGTTTTTTGTACTCTTAAAAAAAATAAATAGTTGTACTTAAATTATCCAAATTTGAATTTTAAAAAATAAATTAATAAAACCTAACA